GAACTTCTGCATGATCCATCCTGAGGACTGCTCTTCATATCAACCATTTATAAGGGAAAAACACGCTTACAGATTTCCACTGGTAGATTTCTCGGTTAACTGAAATAGACGGAGAGATCTTTTGGATTCCCATTTTTTAAAAGCATCATTGAGTAAATCTGAAAGTTTTAAAAGAAACCTATGTCCAGGCTGCCCTTTTTGTTCATCTCTCTTTGAGCCTCAAGGGTTCCTCATATGTCAAATGGGAATATTAATGGGTGACCAATGACTAGTTATCTGTGCCAAACTAGTGGCCATGGGAGATTTATGTTTGAGTCCTTAATCCTTAGTATTTCAGATGCCGATTTCTATTTTTGTATACATGGTGTATATGACTCACGAGTGTAGTAGATAATGGATTAAATTGCTCTGATTAGAGGACTTGCGGCTTCTAGTAAAAAGGTGGATCCCATAAACTTTTAGTCTGTTGCACCTGCAGAAATGGCAGATCTCTGCCCCAAGAAAATTCCAGTCCAGAAACCAGCCCAGATCTTAATGCAATTAGTTGTTCTGGTTAATTGCTGTCAAGTTGGCTCTGATTTATGATGAATGAGAGACCTCCAAGGTTGGATCCGCACTGCAGAATTCATGCAGTTGGATGCTGCTTTAACTCCAATGGCTTATTGCTATGGAATCCTAGGATTTGTAGTCTTGTGAAAGATTCAGTCTCCTCTATTACAGCGAATGTCTACATGTTAGCCTGCCTTTTCAAGTCTTTTAAGACACACACGCACACACACAAATAATTATTATTATTTCAATATTTCATGCCCGGATGAGAATCAAGCATTTCCTAGCAATCCTAGTTGGCATAGCCAATAGAGAGGCATTCTGGGAACTGCAGTCCAACAGCATCTGGGAGGTTGGATGATTCATGTCCTGGGATTAATAAAACAGCAATTAAAAATCTCCTTCTCCCAGCAGAGTTCTACCAAATGCAGGCTGGGATTAATATGTTTTGTCCTGTTCTTGTTTTAACTGAAGGCTTTTAAAGCTTGCAGGGAACCATCTCCCCAAATTTTATATGGCAACTGTTATAAATACAATATGATGACCAATATCTAGCCCCAGAGAATGGCTTCTGCACAGTTAATCAATCACATTTAATAGGCATATTCTCAACACATCAAACAGCTTCTACTGATTCTGTAGACTAACAAGGCTATATCTTTGCATTCCACTACTATGGAAAGCACAACATTTATCTGAATGGAGTGGAAATCCATCAACCTCTTCAAGAAATTTGAAAGACCAAATGCATCTGAGGAAAGTAGACTTAAAGTCTAGGAAAGCTCCTGCTGCCAACTTCTTTCTTTCAGTGAGTCTCAAAGGTGCTACAAGATCTCTTTACATACTGATTCTACAGACTAAGAACGGCTGCATCTTTGAATTCTACCCAAATCCATGTATGTTCAGGACCCATTAAATACAATGGGGGGAGGCAAAATGTTGCCCCTTCTATTAAATGGCAAAATCAGGCTGTGCTTTTTGGACTGTATATATTTTGTAAAATATTTGCAAGCCGTAATAATAATAATAATAATAATAATAATAATAATATAAAAAATCCACGGATATTGTTGGGCCGACTGTATTTTCTTGCCTGGAAGACGAAAGAGGCGCTTAGCCCATGCCAGTCAAGGGAGGGCAAAAAACGGTCCAAGCTTCTTGCTAGCAGGATGTGTTTCTGGAATGAAGATGGAAATACGAGGCATGTGTGTGCATCTCTCTGTGTGTGTCTGTGTGTGTTGGGGTCAGAAAATTTAATCTTCAAACCTGTCAGCAGGTTTTAAAGCAGAAAAGTAGACAGGCAGATTGGATGTTAATCTGCCTTGATCCCCCAGAGACAGATGGGCGGAGGAGACCTTGCAAAGGTGAAGCCAGGAGGAGGAAGGAAGGCAGGCAGAGAGGGACCCAGGCAGGGTCTGTCCACCCGCTTCCCCAGATCTCAGCCAAACCAGGAGGCGGAAGGAGAGAAAGAGAGATGGGGGGCAGGCAGGCTTGCAGGCCAGCAGGCAGAGCGGCAGATGAGGGGAAACAAGGCTAAGCTCGGTTTAAACATTTCTAATGAGAACTAGATAAGGAGAGTGAGGGAGGCCCAGGTCTGACAGCTACGCCTAGCAGCAGGAGAGAGGCTGGCCTTCGGTGACTCCGAGGCCCATGAGTCCAGCTGCCACTGTGGCTCCGTGTCACGACGGTGGCGGGGTTGGGAATGATGCCTCCCTCCCTCTTGCTCTTCTTGGGTTGCAGCCCCCAGCATCCCTCACGACACTGCTAGGCTTTGCAGTAGGGACACAGGGGGAAGGTGTTGGAACATCCAGTCGGTCCTCTACATTTGCGGCATTGACTTTGATTCTTTGCGGATTTGATTCATACGTTCTCTCTAGGAATCTCTGGGTCCTCCTTCCATTGGAGTTTGACCGTCGAGTCATGCTGGAAGACCTAGAAAATATGTTTTATATATACACTCATCTCTCCACATTCACTAGGGTTAGGGGCCCAAGACCCCAGTGAATGTGGAAAACCTGCAAACAACAAAAACACTATGTTTTTGAAAGAACACCTCTGTAGGAATCTCTAGGTCCTCCAGTGCAACTCTGTAGTCAACATCTGCCAGACATTGACCCTAGAATTGCACTGGAGGAGCTACAAATGCCTAGTGGAGTGCTCTCTCTAAGATTTTCTAGATGTCCTTCAGTACAACTTTTGGTTAAAATTGACCATAGAGTTGCGCTGGAGGACCTAGATATTCCTAGAGAGAACATATTAATAAAATCCGTGAATAATCAAATCCACAAAAGTCAAAGCCTTAAATGTGGAGGGATGAGTGTATACTGCATATACTCATGTATAAGTCTAGAAATTTTAGTCCAAAAATTGACCCAAAAAAAACACACGTCAATGTAAGTTCTGTACATTAACTCCTATTTAAAAAGGAACCATCCCCTGATGAAAGGCAAGAGCATAATCGGACGTGGAAGCACTGATTCCCCTCTATTCTCTCGACCATCCAGCCTTTACGGTAAACACAAACAGTTATGACTGCTAGAATTTTGTAAGGTTTTGTTTTTTTTGCATTGTTTTCCTTTGCTCCATCCTTTAGATCATAGAAGGGATGTGTTTAATGAAGGTTTAAAAACCTTCATTTTATGAAGGAATGTTCAATATATAGGAAGGGGGAAGAATGGTTTGAAAACAATATTTCAGCATATTATGATATGTAAAACTGGTACACTATAGTTTTCCAGAGAATGTATAACAGAGCAAGTTAAATTTCTCTTTCTTTTATTTTATTTATAATAAAATAAAATAAAATAAAATAAGTAAATGAAATTACGGAGTAATTAAGGACATTCTCCGTGTTGCTGGAGAAACAGAGGCAGTGAATGTTGGATGTATTTCTTTTACTGTATATATGTAAAGAATAAGTATTTTTTACTGTTAATAAAATTTGATTTTTTTTAAAAAAAGCAAACCTTGATATATATATATTTTCTGTTTTATATAACAGATGACATTTTGCTATGCCATTATATATAATGGGACTTGAGCATCCATGGATTTTGGTACCCACAGGACTCCTGGATCTAAACCCACGCGGACATCGAGGAGCCATTGTACAATCATTTTCAAATGTGACTCTACTTGTTTCCACTTCCCGAGTGGCCTGGACAGCCAAAAAGATAGTCACCCTTTATATATGATGACAATAATATGGGCATGAAAGCTTGTAGCGTAATAAATTTGATAGGGCTTTGGGTGTCGCAGCTGGCGTCCGGACGCTTTCCAGGTTGTTGTTTTGTGATAAATGGCCGGGACAAGCAAAGACCTGAATACAAAGCTATATTGTGCAGAAGGGAAGGTTCACCCCCTTCATGCCCAATTTTTTCCCCAGGATGGAAAACCCAGCAAAAGAGATGGACGTGTTGGTGGTGCCACCTAGTGGGAAGAGCACTTGTGGGTCTCTGTGGGCTGAGATTTGAAAGAGGAGACAAAGCCATGGAAAAACAGATCTCCACCAGTCACTCCGTTCCAGATCCCTAAACATCCATAGCAAGAGGCAGTCTACCTTTGAATAAAAGCTGTTCTAGGTACATGATCGGGAATGGCAGTATGCCTTCACTCCTGGCTTCTAAGCTTCTCCATAACATTTGGCTGGTCTTTAGGGTTGCTAGACTGAAAACTGGAGATGGGTGGTTGTTGTTCTTGTTGCTGTTGTTGTGTGCCGTCAAATCATTTCTGACCTATGGCGACCCGAAGGTGACTACCATGGGGTCCTCTTGGCAAGATTGGTTCGGAGGAGGTTTGCTATTGCCTTCCCTTGAGGCTGAGAGAGTGTGAGATTTGCCACTGGGTTTTGCCTTGGTCTTCCTCTGAGGCTGAGAGAGTGTGACTTGCCCAAATTGGGTTTCTGTGCTGGAGTGAGGATTTGAACCCTAGTCTTCAGCATCTTAGTCGAACATCCAAAGCACTACACCATGCTGTCTCATGTCCCCTTTAATAATTGTGTAGAAAAGGAAATTTCATCAGGTGTTGCTGCACCAGGTAACTATTCAATGTTACAGGAACCCTGGAAAACTGGGGTACACAGATCTTTTGTGGGGTCCCGTCAAGTTCAAGGTTCTTTCTTCCTCAAAATAAAAATTAGCAACTCTAATCTGGGAGAGAAAGAATTACCCAGGGTCACATTCATGTAAAAGGAAGATTGCAATTAATTTCCATATTAGAAAATGAAGATGGAAGATGGGCAACTAAATTGTTCACAGCACTCCTGTTATGTGCCACCCGATTGTCGTTGTTGGTCTTGCTGTATGCCTTCAAGTCATTTCTGACTTTTGCCAACCCTAAGATGAACCTATCATGGGGCTTTCTTGGCAAGATTTGTTCAGAGGCGGTTTGCCCTTGCCATCCTCTGAGGCTGAGAGAGTGTGACTTGTCCAAGGATACTCAGTGGGTGTCCATGCCCAAGTGAGGATTCGAACCCTGGTCTCCAGAGTGATAGTCCAACACCCAAACCATTGCACCATGCTGGCTCATGCT